TACGATGACAGAAAATTTGGATTTTCATGGTGATTGCAAAACATATACTGGTCAGCAAAACTGCAAGACTTTAATAGACATCAAGCGTTAAAGTCCTTCAGAGACAGGATCACCTGCATTATTAACATGAAAGGTATTTTTCGTTTACCCATCCCTTCAAAACTATTACCGAAACATAAGGAAATTACTTGAAAGCAGGAAATCTGGCACAGTTAATACAGATCACAGCCAGAGCTTCCCAACACTATAAATAACCAAAAATTGTCTTAAAATGTGAATCATTTGAATAACGAACAGTGCTACCAGCTCTGTGGAGGATAAAAGCAATTAACACATAAAATAAGCATCATCTGTAGGTAGCTGAGAAAATCTTATCCATGGAGGACACCCAGCCTTCAGCAGCTTTAAACTCTCTCCTTCCATCTAGAAGTTACTTATTTCTTTTCTTCTTTCAAGGTTGGAGAAGGGTCATTATTGTTCTGCCACTTGTCACCTCTACTGATGAGAAATGTCTTGCTTGGATGCTGAACGCTCCTTTAACTGGGGAACTGACTACTGTGTTCCTCAGATATACCTGAACTGCTTAGGAACCCTCTTCATAGAGTTTCTTCTTCATGTAGGTTTTGCTGGTGATCAGTGGCGAGAGTGTCCTTAATAGCTGTGCTGCTGCGCAGCGTGGCCTTTGAGAACGCTGCCTCACTTGGTTTGCAAGAGCATAGGTTAATGACTGTACAGAGGTTGTATGGGAAACTCTCTTCAGTTCTGACAAGTGGACCTAACAAATCAGAAGGGCTAAAAAAACACGTCATCAGCCACGAAAATGACTTAATGTTCTGAATTTTCATTTAGAGTCTCTGCACTAATAATTCCTTTGACAGCAGTAACCATTAAAAATATTGCCCCTCTTCTAAAGATACAGAAAAGGAAAGACAAAGCTTTTGAAATGTCAAATATTAAAAAATATGTTTTGATTTTAGTATCTTTATTCCCCTTATCTGAAGAGCTTTTTTATTAAATAAACATGAACTCCGCTCAGAACTTCATAAAGACTGTTTTGTTCTAAAGGAGAAAAAGTAGCTAGCTGAGAAGAAACAGACACGTGGCTGCTGCTTCGTATCGAAGAGGCATGCAGACAAAAGGCAGGCAATGCAGCTCCTCTCTCTGGCATAGCCTTGTGCTTTACAGCTTTGCTGCTGAAAAACGTCAGGCCCCAACACTGATCAACCTGGCAAACCTGTACCAGCATCAGACTTGTCCTTGCTTCTAGCTCCTGCCACCCTGTCATGTCAGGAGCAGCGAATGATGCTGACCTGGCTGGCTAAAGCAGACTGACTGTACGGCTGACAGTATGAGGCACAGGGAAAAATGTGACTTCATGCTGCTGCGCAAAAAGAAAACCGTATGGAGCACAGAGTTGTCTTACACAAATATGAGGAAACCCCAGTTGTGAAGAGAAGTGGAGCTTCATACATTTTTGGAAGGGGAAAGGTGCCCTGTTAGCTTTGTGAAATCTCCGAGTTTGTTTTTTTGTTTTCACTGGCAAACAGTTTAAGTGAAAAGGATCTGGTGTTAGGAATAGAGCCCTGTTAAGGCCATGAGTGAAGCAGAGGGAGTCAAAGTGGAAATATATAGATGTAGTGAAGCCCAGCAAGCAATTGCTCCTTAGGAATACAATGAATCTTCAGAATTTAATAAAATATAGCAGTATTTTTCTGTGTACTTGAACACTTTTACTTCTAGCCCCACAGGGTACACTAGCCGTGAAAAGGGTAACATTACCCATTAGTATGGTGGTAATGTCTGCAATTAGTGGCAGTACCAAGAGCTCCTTGCAAGGACATCTTAGCCCACAAGGTAATTATGAGCTTATTACTGGCAACCAGCACGTCACTTTGTGGAGGTTTACCCTTCCTTGAGTCACGCTTCCCCTTAGAGAGTCTGCACCTTCTGGAGTTTCTTGTCCTCGACAAGACAAGACAATAATTGCACATTATTCCTTGCAAATCACAGCATCGCTGAGGTTGGAAGGGACCTCTTGAGATGATCTACTCCAACCCCCTTGCTCAAGCAGGGATGCTCAGGACTGTCCAGTTGGATTTGAGTGTCTCCATGGATACTCTACAACCTCTCCAGGCAACTTATTCCAGTGCTTGACAACCTTCACAGTAAAAAAGTGTTTTAATGTGTTCAGATGAAATTTCATGGGTTTTTAATTTGCGTCTATACTTGCGGTACCAAACTGTGAGTGGTTTTGGAGATTTGAGGCTGTTAACTCTTTACCTTATTTCTCAAATCCTAGTAAATCCTGATTCTTTTCTAAGGCATGCTTGGCCCATTATGAATGGGTTTTTTGCCACTTTAAAAGTACAAAGCTTTTAACTGAAGACAGGACGGAGGCTACCACATCTGTGTTGCCTAAGAATCAATACTGTAGCTTCTTCAACTGTTATGCTGTCAGTCTGGTGAAAAAAGGCATTGCTGGCATCTCATGTTTACAGTAAAAGCTGCTGTTTTGTTCTCAGATGCGTTCAATGTCGTGGTGCTGCATTAGTTGTAGATTGGTAAGATTTGATCAAGTCAGATTGATGTAATGTAATTTAAGTAACAGCTTATTCTGTGCACGTAATTTTATGTGTGACCCTTTAAGCCCAGCTGTGACATAACTACTCTAGCTTTCACTGTTCCACTTGCCAACTCAGAAACTGCCCTGGCCATTCCCTGCTTTACAGGGGGCAATTTTCTGGTACCACAGTTACTAAGTGATTATATAAACAAAGGTTAGGACTAAATAATATATCCTGTGGACTAAAAAACATTTTCAAGATGAGGTAAGGGTAGCTACTTAAGAGCAGATGAGCAATGCTCTAATGCTACTTCAGGAGTTACTAAGCTGCTTTTCTTGAAATACAAAATTTGAGGAAAGATCAACCCTGTAATACAAGGCACATACATGAATACCAGTTATTTAGATACAAGTTTGGGAACATCTCTTTCATAGAATCATAGAATTGTTAAGGTTGGAAAGGACCTCTGAGATCATCGAGTCCAACCATTAACCCAGCACTGCCAAGTCCACCACTAAACCATGTCCTCAAGCACCACGTCTACCCATCTTTTAAATACCTCCAGGGATGGGGACTCAACTACTTCCCTGGGCAGCCTGGTCCAATGCTTGACTACTCTTTTGGTGAAGAAGTTTTTCCTAATATCCAACCTAAACTTCCCCTGGCGCAGCTTGAGGCCGTTCCCTCTCATCCCATCCCTTGTTACCAGGGAGAAGAGACCGACCCCCACCTCACTGCAGCCTCCTTTCAGGTAGTTGTAGAGAGCAATAAGGTCTCCCCTCAGCCTCCTCTTCTCCAGACTAAACAACCCCACCTCCCTCAGCCGCTCCTCATAAGACTTGTGCTCTAGACCCTTCACCAGCTTTGTTGCCCTCCTCTGGACACGCTCCAGCACCTCCATGTCCTTCTTGTAGTGAGGGGCCCAAAACTGAACACAGTACTCGAGGTGCGGCCTCACCAGTGCCGACTACAGGGGCACTATCACCTCCCTGGTCCTGCTGGCCACGCTATTCCCGATACAAGCCAGGGTGCCATTGGCCCTCTTGGCCACCTCAGCACACTGCTGGCTCATGTTTCAGTACTGGTTTAGCATGATTTGCTGTACCAAAAAAAGTTCTTGAGAATGTTTTTGCGGACATAGTGATAAGGTGTAAAGGTCAAATTTATGGAATGGTGTAAAATGCATACCTAACAACTTCTGTAGTGGTCAGCTATGGTCTCTTTTTCGCTGAATTGTCTGAGGACAGGTGAGCTATATACATCAATATTCCAACTAATCCTATTTAAAACTTCAGCTTTAACCCAGTTGTCATCATCGCTTTACATGAGGTATATGTGAGGCTAAACTTCCCAGGCGCAGGGAATTCTAAGGATTGTATTTTCTGCTTTGCAACTGGATGAGCACATTAATGCAGTGCAAGGCAGAAGCATTCACAGAACAGCAGTAAAGAATGGGAAACAAACAGGAATGACAAGATAGTTTGCTGCTGTTTTTTTTTTTTATTTTGTTCTGAAAACAGCAAATCTTGTTTCTCCTCATGTATTGTAGGCAATTAATTGTTAGCTTTGTTTTGTACTGGCAGGAGCGATACTGGTTAAAAGATCTATTTCAGGCTGCAGTTGTTTCTCCACGCCTTCAGAGTCAGCATAAAGTAAGAGAGGTTTCAAAGTTTTGGCCTTTATTGAGCTTAGCCTATAGGCAATATGAAATGATAATTTTCACACACATCATTGAGTCTTAAAATATCTCAGATGGCAACACAACCTTTTGCGGTGTCTAACATTAGGGATTAGTCCAGACTGAGTGGCTCCTACAATTTATTTTTCACCCTCTGTAAGACTTGGATTTCCCTTTTTACTTCCTTCTCAACTTCTTTTGGAAACGTGTCATGAATTTTCCAGTGTCCTAAGCACCTGATCTTGATGTTTAGATATGTGTAAGATCAAGCCTTATCTGCAAGTAAAAAATCATTTTTTAATTCTAACATGACATGCTTATTTTTGTCCACATCATCACAGAATTAAAATGCTACCATTCTAGGTGAACAATTATAAGCTGCCTCTGCAGAATGTGGAAGTTGTCTTTCTAAGTAGGTTTTTACTCTTTTTCCTTTACTTCCTTTGAAAACAAACAAACGAAAAATACACCGGAAGAAAAAGGATTACATCTCATAGGATTCTATATCGAAACTTACTCCAAACACTGTTAGAAGTTCATAGCAAGATTTTTTCTTCCCATCATGCAGTAAAAAACAAAAAAAATACAAAAAATATGTGGCATTAAGGAAAGAATGGTTTTGTAGTTCAGTGTCTATCTTGAATCAGCAGCCCTTCAGAAGGGCTCCATAAACATACTCTAGGTGTGCTGTAGGATCTCTTTCACTAGACACACTCCAAGTCAGTACACAAATAAATACACGCTATTGTAAGTCAGGAACAAGTGCTCACTCCAAGTTTTTATTAAAATTGAACACAGAGAAGTATTCAAACATACTTCTGGTTGAGAATCTAGACAGCTAATATGTTTTCAGGATCATCTGGTTTGACAGTATTCCAGAATCTCAGTTAACCCTTTTGCGTGTACATTCACAGGAACATGACAGTGAGCAAGCACCTCATTACTCAGCCAACAACCACTACATCGTCACCAAGGAACTGGTAAGTCGGAACCTCAAGGTTATAGGGAGCGGGACCTTTCCTGATTCTGCCAGAGGCATCGTAATGGGACCCATGGCAAGGGCAGTAATAACCGCCAAAATCTCCGGAGTTGGCAATGGGTACACAACCAAGGTGAGTGCAGACACCTACTAATATGACCCATTCTGGTTTCTTTACTCTGTCTAAGTCATGCTGCGGATCCCTCAGTTTAGACAAATCAACTGCAGCTTCCTGATTAATCTCTGCCTGGGTTCTGTGACGCACAAAAAGGGGCTTCCCTCGCCACTTGAAAGCCATGTTCTTGCCTTCTGGAATGTCAGATAACTTGATCTCAATCTTTGACAGCGCTAGCACATCAGCAGAGGCACTCAGGCTGGAAATAAACTGGGTGACAACATTCTTAGCAGCATATGCAGTTGCTACGCATGTCGTTGCAGTCACCAGGTAGGAAAACCCTTTTCTAGCTTCGCTGCTGCTTTGAGAAGACGTGGTGGCATCTAGCACATCTTGACGACGATAGGCAGAGAAGTCAGGTACTGCGACGTCATTATGGATGCAACGAACGCTGGCAGGTGCTGCAAGAAAAAGAATATGAAATGACAACACTTTCTGATAAAAAAAAATATTACGATGTATTTTAAGTTATACTTTTTTAATTGCATTTTTGGAATAATGGGTAAAAGTTACTCCGAAGTCCGCGTAGGATTCCGCTAATTATACATTTCAATTTGAAGTTGTAGGAAAATGGTTTCCAGAAGGTATTTTCTTTAGATGAACAGGTGATTTCTGAAACTGTTTTACCTATTCTTTGAAGATTACACAAAGCCTGATAAGGGTGCAGAAAAATCTGTGAGAAGTTCTGGGTTTAAAGCAAACTGTTTTTTCAGAAGATTTCAAGGAAAAACTCCTGCAGGACACCATGACTAGCTAAGACAAGACAGACCCAGTTTTCCATTCAAATGTTTCCCTGAAAAAAATTGCTATGAAGAAATTTGATTTAGTAAAGTTTGCACATCTGTAGCTTAACACTTTTGTGCTCTCCTTTGACTTAAGTAACTTCCATGCCTTTAATAATCTTAAGTGTGTGGTTAAGCATTTTTAAGATTAAAAATGCACTTATCAGGCATCCCCCTTTATATTAAACTGTTGTCAAACCTAACTGCCCTGGTAAATAATTTTAAAACCTCCAGTCCCCATTTGCCAGGCTCACTTCACAGATTTAGGGATAAAGCTAGTAACTGTCCAGTTCCCAAGCTTTTCAAGTGGGATTCCCACGTCAAACCTCTGTGCTAAACTAACAAGATGCAACGGCTAACTAGGAGGCCTTCCATTCGTTTCTCCAGCAAAAGCAAGCTGCTTCCCTCAATAAGAATCTATAAGCCAAAGAACGTGCCAAAGACCGAACAAATTACTTCCCGAAGTGCAACCTCTGTTATTCAAAAAGAACTATTTAGTCTTTATTTTTTTCTAGCAGTTGACACAAAGTTAACAGAGGTTAATAAAACCCATTCTCTCAAAGTTCTTAAAATAACTCTCAGGGATTTATGTGCAATATAATGGGGAAAATATTTACGTTTATTTACAAGTAACTCAACATAGAGAAGGTATTTGCTGTAGGATTTGAACTGCAGAGAAATTAAACTGAAATTCAAAATTCTGAGATAGTAAACCTTACTAATTTATTTCAGTATCAAGACTTAAAATATTTCACATTTAGTAACAAGCAATACGATTAACTTCTAAAAATTCCTTATATTCAGTGAAAAGCATGCTTGATGTTAATTAAAACAAAGAATAAGACTAAATGTCGGCTACATTAGTTACAGATTTGTAGAATTTTCACCTGAACATATCCTTTACAGTTGAGGATCAGGTGAAGTATGTATGTATGTTCTACTCACTACAGAGCATCTTCCAGAAGGCACTGCCATCTCCAAGACTTACATGAAGTACGAAGCAAACTGTCGCTACGTGCCCAGCGTCAGCAGATAAGGGCGGCAGTTCTCCATGAAACGCAAATCAGTCTGTTCCATGGAGAACGACTGCCCTTTGGCTGGAAGTCTGGGTCTGCAAGAACGACCTGGGGCTAACGTTACCTGGCTGATGCTTTCCGACCACTGCATGAACAGGGGGGAAATACAGGAATTTCAAAAGAGGAAACCGAGGGTTTTGACATAGTGAATTCACTGTTAGAGCTGTTTTTCTGCAACAGTAAACCACACCGTGTGTTCCCGCTGCACATCTCTGCTTTGATGCCCCTCAGCTAAGTACCTTATTGAACTAGACAGAATTTTCCTGCACCTTCCCACCTGCACAATTAATACCTACCCGAGAGTCACCGAAAGGAAGCAGGCTGTCAAGTGCCCTTAGCTCTGTAGTCATAAACGCATCTTGCCCTGACGATGACAACTTGGAATCGTGTATTTAAAAAAACAAAAAAAAGCAGCAAAAGCCAGAACCTCTCACCTGACTCCCGCCTCTGCTTGCCCCCGCCCGCCCGGCCGGACCTCC